CAATACACTGATACTATTTCTATAAAATGAACCTGATCGATACTTTTGATGTTTCAATCTTTTGATGGGAAATTGGAATTCGTATAGAGTATTAAAAATTAAAAGTTTCATTCAGCTGTGTTGTTTGGAAAAAAAAATTGTTTTATTTCAAGCTAGAAAGTTAAATGGAAAACTTTAATTTAAAATGTTGAATTTTCCACTATAGCTTTTAAGACTTTGTACTAAATGATTTAGTGTGTACAACTAGTATCGAGTTTGATAGTCTTTTACAAAATTACAGAATTTTTATCAGCGTTAAAAAATTGGCAAAAGCTGTCAAATGAAAGACCCCATTATCAACACTATGAAGCGATATTTAGTAATACTCATTTATACATAATAACACAAAAGAATTATGGCACGGCATATACAGCGGCAACAGGAGCGATCGGATTTTTCGAATAGTCTACTGTGCAGCCAGGAGTTTTGTGCAGCGAAAACAAAGCATTGTCTATCGGCGTGTTAACGCTTATTATATTTCAAACATGTCGTTGGTCGTACATAAGATTTATGCTTTGCAGCTCGACGTAATGCCATAGCATCGATAGTGTAAGTATATACGCGCAAAGACTATATATACACATACTCAGAGCAGTCATATTCTAGGGGCCCCCTGCGCGTCTATATAAGTGCAAACATTTTTCAAGCGTACGGCGTACGTAATAATCCAGAAAAAAGTTCAGCTCGGTACTTGGCTTGTTACGCGATTCATCTCTCGGTGCAGGCTGCAAAGCAGCACATGGGTTGCCGTGTGTTGCGGAGCTCCAGTATACTAGCAGGCAGCTACCAAGCGCGCATATACACAGCAGCAGTACCATGCGCGAAGCTCGACGCGGCATCGTAATCTATATTTACGCGCGTAATCCGGCCATTAGAGTGCGCTCTCGTGAGGGAGAAAGAGAGACGGAGAGCAGATATACGTATATACAGCCGAGGCGAAAGCGCCGGGCTGAATTTATATCCTCACGGACTTTAGGATGCGTTAGATATGTATTTTGCCAGTGCAACGTGGCGGTATAAAGAGAGAGAGATGCCGTACATAGCCCATCCAGGCCAATTGCTCCTAGGAGAGTAAATCAAACGGAAGTATCAGGCAGTTTATTTCGATTGCACGCGCCCGGCCGGCCACCATCGCTGCGCGCGAGACGATCTTATATATGAATGGCCTAATGGAATATACGTGATGCTTCATCATATGCATCGGCGGTAGCGCGGCGGCGGCTTCGTGCGCGATCCAGACCTGCATCCACACGCCACACTACTCGATGCATTGGTTTCTGTGTACACCGAGGATATATTGATTGTATTATTTAACGATTATGCACGCCCGGCATTTTAGCCGATATTATGACGGTCTTCGATCAATGATTGAGCTCATCGCTCATTTCTGCTTGCATCTACCCCGTGTGTCTATATTCCTCGATACGTAAGCCGCCAGACCGTACATACCGCTTGTGCGCCGTGCCAGCAAACACGTGTGTATTATATATACATGCCTAGCTACGACTCCGTTATTACATTATGCGCGCAATATCTAATCAATGAGCATGACGGATTATTATGATTGATTGGTAATCGTGATGCTTCCTTATTGATTTTCGCGCGCTGCCAGTATATCTTTTCGAGAGTTCATTTGTATGCACGATTGTACGACTTGGCTTAGACAGCTGATCGTTACGATGCTTTGACTCTCTATACATGTGTAATACGTGATCAATTAAGAGGCGCATTACTTGATTTTGAAACTGCAATGCAAGTAAACATCGTTTCTTTCTGACAAATCCGATACGCACTCGAGATTCTCTGAATTATGAGCCGCCGCGGGTTAATATTAGCTTTCCAGCGTTGCCTTGAATAAATTGGGTGAGGTGCACTCGTAAGACACTGATTATCATAGAGGACGACAAGAGGTGAATTTAATAAACACAGATTACAAACAATGTTATACATCCGAGAAGAGAAGACTGAAGTGTGTTTTCGGGCTTTATTGATACTCGACCTTAGTTACCTAATTGACGCTTGTTTCAATTATTGCCGATGCAACGAGCATTGGATGTTTTTTTAAGAAATCGGTTATCCAAATACTGTGTAAAAGTTAATTTTCTAATTTTAGCTAAGCCAAAAGCACATTAAACCAGATTTAAACTGGACGATGTTAGTTCCACTGTTGGTATAGCTTCGTCGAGTCGAGTTATTGAATGTAGATCGTCAATATTCCAGTGCAAACTCGTAAATGCATGGATGTATATCGCGTGCGTAGCACGAGACAAATATATATTCCCAACAAAGCTTTGGGCATGCTATAACGGAAACGCGAACGCGGATATAGGTGTTAATCCGGAATTGCTTTTGAATCGAGCTATGCACTGCGACTTTGCACTGTGTTGTTTATCGAGTGCATTCTCGCGCACTCGCAAATGCCAGGCCATTTTTTCCAACTTATACAGTTCTAAAGTCGGAAAGAGAGAGAGAGAGAGAGCCACACGCACACAGAGGTATCTGAAAGGCAATGTTGACGACAACATTTGCGCTTGTTTTTTTCAACCAGAGCGGAGGCAAAAACACGTGCGATACAAAATCAAATTTCTCGCCTATTCAACGATTGCCAATTATTTTTATATGCGTTTTTCTTTTTCGATGCTCACAATGATAGCACGTAAAGCTACGCGCGCGCTCATAGTTCCCCGTATGCGCTCGCGAATTATATATATATGTACAAAAGCTGCGTTGCCACGGCATTAGCATTTATGTTTCATTATGTATCTAAAGTTCAATGCGTATATACACAGAGAAATAATAGACTTATAAATAATTCACAACCGTAAATACATATACGCAGAGGAATCAGCAATGAACTAGCTGCACATGCAGCGTAAGCTGCACTCACACTATTACCCTCATAATGTACGTACACGTATATAATACATAAATGTATTTGATACTGATATTAAATGTGTGCAGACGTATCCAGCAACAAGCAGAGCTTACACGCATTCCTTTAATGCATCGAGCACGTTTTAGAACTCAGATAATCTCCGGCAAACAGGACACCTTCATTAGTCCAAGAGAGAAAAGCTATAATATTTGCTAGTCTCGCGCTTTAAACGGCACAAATTGCGACTCGATGCTTGTCAATGAGCTAAATTACTGCTCGCCCGTGAAAAATGTATCGGTTTGGACTCTAAAGAAATCCACAAGTTTTACTCACACCTTGAGAGACCACGAGAAAAAGAGTCAGAGTCGCGATGTATAAGATTACGATCTTAATAACTTACTTAATGCTTCACACAGACTAACAGGTAGTAACTCGAGAACTGCACTCATATACGCATACATGTTAACGTACGCATAAGCGAGTGTGTAAGTATACGGCTATAGGCTCGCTAGTGTGTTGTATTTGTGTGTCGGTGCGCGCGTGGCCCAGCTATACGTCGGGAGCCGTATAAATGCGCGAGCTCGCGCGCATAAGGCTATTCATTCGCCACGGCAAAGGCGGCCCGGGAGCTTTGCAATTGAGACAGGATGCGCTCTTTAACTCTCTCTTTCACTCGGCCAGTGCGTATACCTTGCTCTCTATTTGAATGATGTATATTATGCCGACGAGCGTATACATACACGCCAAACGGTGCGTTCGTCTGTATAATTTATAATGGATTTTGTGATTCTTTGCTCTTGAAAATGGATGAACTAGCCTGGGATTCAATGTGGCAATTTTTCAAAATCTATGCAGTGCTCAGGGTATTGTGTGTTTGCGAGAGCCTAATGGTCATTCAGGCGTGATTTTAATTAATTTCCGTACTTTTTACACGCTCTCCTAAGTAATTTCAATCAAATCATACGAAAAATATCGCCCATAAAATTGCTCGAGCTTCCAAAGTTATTGAATCTTCCATTTTTCATCGCACTTTTACGTGCGGCTATCAAATTATCTTGTGAAAGCTTTTATGACAAGTTTTGAGAAAACTCGAAAAGTTAAATATGTGCATACTGAACATTTCGTAAATAATTAAATTTATAGTATTGACTCTACATGAGATAAAATTGATGACGCAAGAGTGTCAAAGTTTTTGTTTAAAAATATTAAAGTTTACAATTTTCAGTATAGTTTCTCTTTTACACACACATCATTTTCTGCACACCGACACTTAACATATAATCTATGAACGTCAATAACCGATCGCATCGTTTGAAAAAATTGTTCTGGAAAAAGTATATTGGTATGCACGAAGGAACCAAAGATGAAAAAAGTAAGCTCCTGTATTACTACGTAGCCTTGGGGCAATTTTAGTTAATACTAAAGAGCTCGTTTACTTTTTAAATAATTTCCAGTAGGTAAGAGATGCACACCGTAAATAACAGAATGTATACATGCACATATATAATAATCCAATGCTCGTTTAACAGTAGCCAAAGTATAAAAATTACTCAACACTTGCCGAGCGCGCGCAGAGTAATACCGTACAGTCTCTCGCCTCCCCGTACTGCGAACCAACCAACCTCGTATTCGCGGAAGTTATCCACCGCAACTATGATTTTATATATTATACACATGTGCACATCCAAAGAAAAAGAAGATAAGCCCACAAGCAAGCGAATTTTAATCTGCTGCTCTGCTCTTCTCCTGGGGCCTGTGGTTCGCTTCTACGATTCGCGCACAGTATCACATTTTCTCCAAATAGTTTCCAAGTCTCGGCGCTGGTAATAATGTAACGTGGTGCGCGCACTATATAACTCGCTCCAAGGATACAAGTGAGTATACCGACCATCGCCGAGATTATTTTTCCAAGTATGCGCCAATGCAGTCTTCGCATTTTTCTAATGGTACTTGCAGGCTTTTGCACACTCAAACACAACTTTTCGCGCGCTAGAAAAGTTCTACTTGCTTGATTTACTCGTACGTTGTGGCTAACATTTTTTTTTTACTTTAATAATAATTATGTAATACAAAAAAGAGGCAATAATTTTCTGGAATGATTTTATTGTAAAAACAATCTGTATAAATGTATGCACGCTTCGAGCTATCACAAAATTATTAGGAACACGACTTAAAAACATTAAACTTTTCTTAACCCTGGTATGGGGGGTATGGTCCAGGCCCCAATGGCCTCGTGTCTTGTCCGGGAATCTGAAGACCAAATTTCGGTACGCACTTGGCAGCATAAGACAAGCAAAGCAAATTGCGGCAGCAATCGTCGTAACTGTGGCACTAAACAAAAAAAATTTTTATTACAGTGTGTCAATTCTACTTTGGGTGAAGAATAAAAAATCAATTCGCATAAATTGTATACTTACTGGACCTTTCCAAGGACTGCACGTTTTTTCTACTGGTTTTTCAGTCGCTTCTTCCAAAATTTGTTGTCTCCAGAAATCGATGATATTAGGTGGATATTGTGGCGTAGCGGCGGCCACAGCCACTAACAGTGCGAGTAATAAAATAATCTTGGACATTTTGGCTGTCGATTAGAACAATTTCACGGGCACTTGAACGAGTATAAAAAACAAAATACACGTACGAGGCAGAAGTCGGCTTACAGAGAGTAGATCTGTAACTGATGTTTTTGATTCAGTTCGAGTTGTTATATAGAAAACAGCAGCTGTGATGAATCACTTGTTGCAGGGGGAAAAAAGTGGGAGTGACATACGCAAGCACTCATCACGTAATATTTCGCTAATATTTGTAGCTGCACGCTGTATTGTGTGCGGCCGTCATTGATAAGGCGCTAAAGCGCTTCGCGTGTTTCTCGACTGCCACGATAAGTAAAATTAAGTGTTCTCTCGTGCACGCTATATCTGCGATCATCAATAATAATAAAATTTAGAGAGCAGTGTATGGGTTTTCAAGTTTCGCGAATCGTAAGTGCGATCTTCGCGATTGATTGACTTCGAGACAATTCACTAATTGAACCGGTAGCCAATTTTTTGTCACGTACATAAAAAAATAAACATAAAGCGCGTCTGTATCTATATTATGATCTTATTTGCAATTTCGAGAAACAATCGCGCAATTAACGATTAGAAATGATAATGCCACATTACATCAGTTTTTTTTCTTTTTTAATTCAAAAAAATCGGCATAATCATCAAGTACGTTTAATCATATAACATTTGAATGTACACGTAAATTTACAGTTCAACTACTAAACATAGTGTGCATTGTTTTTTCATAAACAATGATAACATACACCAAAATAATCACTCCCGGAGTTGGGTTCAACGAGTGATAACCGCACAAACAATTCAAGCTCATCAAGCATGAGTTTGCGTGTATAACTGTACTACCTCGCACATCCTGCGCGACCGAGATATTATCGCGCGTCCGACCGAGCATCCAGCACACATCAAAGTCAGACCAAAAACGGTCATTAATGTTGCATCACATCTTTCACCACGAAGTGTGTGCATCTTGGACGTGCTCGGGATGTGTACTAGCTGGTCCGACCGCGCGCACAGACAAACTAACTCGACCACAAAGAGGAAGCAGTTTTTCCGCTACTGCGATGCTGCTACAATTCGCACATCATTGTGCTTACAAGCGGCTAGAATTCAATGAGCAGGCTAACGCTATGGTTCACGAGTACCTTGGCAGAGCGCAAAAATTCTCGCGTACATATGTGGCGCGCAAGAATCATCCGCAGCAAAAAAGGACCAACTCCGCAGCTCGCTAGCACTACGGAAAATAAGTCCGACTTGTGGTGGCGGCGTTGTTATGCCCTTTCAAAAGATTTAAAATGTATACACCTATCAGCCATATTCAGAGATATCCTCTTCGGTAACTCACAAACACCCACCCCCCATTAAAAGTCCATGTGCGTAAAAGGCGCGAGTGTGCCCGGGAGCGCAGCGCGCAAACAAGATCGCCGAGCTCGCGATAATAACGCGCGCGCTCGCTTGTATTACTATTGCTGCGCAGCCGCTCGCACATAGCTCTGATCTTTAAATTTTCTACTCCAGCTAGTTCGGTCGTACCTACATGCGATACATGTAAGTGCAAAGAAACAACCGATTGTACTCGCGGATGCCACTCGTGAAATAGATTTCGATCTAAAACTGGCTTGTATCTAAGCGGCATTTGTGTGCGGTCGAAGATATGCGTAAAATACGGTAATATATAGCTTGGTTATTATAGAATAGGCTACTTTCTGAAGGAATATCAATAAATTGAAAAATTAGATCAGATACTGAATATAATGTTTATATTTTTATAACGAATAATTTTCTTCTAATTTTCCAAGATACATAATTTCCAGAATTTTTTTTTACAACTTTGCTCTCACTGGAAGAGAATTTTTCTTTATGAAAAATGCCCGCAGTTAAGATCACGGGCAATTTAAAATGTATGAGTTACGCAATACCCTCGATATAATCAGTGAAGATATGAAAATTCAGAAATAAAATTTGTTCCTTCGTTACTCGAGATTCCAGGCGAAAGGTCCAAACGATTATTCACCGCTTCCGAAGAAAGGAGGAATTTTTCATATGAAATTAAAGTGTCAGGGGTTAAAAAGAAAAGCTAGCTTACTCCTGTCTTTCTCTCCTTTCTCGCGCGTTATACTCTGTAGCATTCGGACGTGGAAGGATTAGCGCGCAGATACCACATTGCAGACTGCACAAGCTGTAAGCAGACTGCAGCCTGTGCAGCCGAGTCAGCCAAGAAAAAGAGAGAGAGCCTCGAGGGTCGAGTAGTAAACCATGTTTTATTGCTTTTTTGTTCGAGGCTTCCATTACTTTGCTCGCGCGTAGAACTCGAGATTTTTTAGAAATTTCAAAAGTCCCGACTTTTGGAAGATTTTTTTACTTCCATAAACTCGTATTGTACGCGCTTGAAAACTTAAAGCTAGTTCAATCCATTTTTCGCGGGTGTCGACGCATACGTGGTATTGTGTGTCAACATTGCTTTATTTATCTTCATTGTTCAAAAATAATTTCTTATTTTTTTTCGGAAAGAATTGCGTCATTGTCGCTGTAAATGGCTCATGCAGCGTATTGTGAGGTAATCGAGTACACAATCCTCAGAGGTCGAAACACGTATATCTCTGTTTTTTCATATACTGCAAGGTACTAGGTCCATGGTCGAGCAGCAAATATTTTACCCGATCCAAGCTCGAAACGAGTGGAATTCGGATGTGCTCGCTCGCATGTGCGTTTATTGACCCTCACTCGAGGATACTGCGGCTTTTCAACGCTAAATACACATACGCGCGCACAAGCACATCTGCTGGAGCGCGTGAAACGCAAGCAAAACGAGGCCCGCGAGCTATACACCGGTGGAGCACATTACAGCTCTCGACTGTACATAATACGTAAGACGCATCCTCCCAAGTGAAAAGAGCCCAAGACCGCCACTATCAGCTCGGCTGCACGCATCTGCGCAGCAAGTCGCGCGCGCACGCGGAAAATAATATCGTAATGCTCGGTTGTGGAGCGCGCGCGACCGGCCAAAGTATACCGGCAGCCCCCGGCAGACTCTCTCTCTATATATATCCATAATTGGTCGCGCGATCTCGCGTACAAGTGAGCCACGCGGCTACCATAATGTACTCGACTGCTACACAGTCTCATTGTATTTATATGCGACTCTTCCCTCTCACTACGCCTGCTCGAGATGTATATTATTTATATATACGTATATACAGCATTGAACCAAGAGAAGCTATATCGCCGAGCTTTTATTTTTTCCTTATATTTTATTTAGCGTACTCGCATCGCTGATACGATGTAGAGATTAACTTGCTCATCTTTAGATGAGAGGATATTACGAAAAATTGATGCTTCGGTGGCAGCTACGCGCTTTATTTTATATTATACATATTATATACTCTATCGAAAGCGGCAGTGGTGGCGGCGGTGGCAGCGTATAAGCCGGCCAACGAGGATATTAATTTTTCCATGGTTTCGCCGAGATAACAACGGACGATGACGATGGCTCGCTGCTGATAAGATGATTAGGTTACGTATACTCCGCTGCTGCGCTATTAACGCGATTACTGCGAGGAGAGTTTATTTAGTATGGCCCTTTATCGGGCTAGACGTGTACTCCGAGGGTACTATAGCTCCGCGTAACTATCCGAGCAAATTGTTATTACGTTTTTTCGTTTTCATGCGCACACGATATAGCCAAAGTTTTATTCTCTATTTGGATACGTAGCGCAGCTGTAGACTCGTCGACTCGGTACAATCAATTCCGAGGATACTCTGGTCGAATATAGCTACATGATTGATTTTCCAATCGTTTACATGCATCCTTAATTATTGATGCAAATATAAGTCATCGTGTAATTATGTAAACACGCTGGTGTATAACTAGCTTCGGATGTGTTCGCTTCGGTTTCAGAAAAGACGAATCATATTGCAACGGAAAATGTCATTTAGCAACCACAAGTAAATCACGCGCCCGAGTAAACCGACTACATCATCGGAATAATCGCTTCCTTTCTTCGAACATATTATTTAATCGGTAATAATACACCCACACTCGAAGCCACAATCTAGCGGCTGTCGCGCGCGCGCGCGCCACCAAAAACGCACGCGAGTGTAGATCCGAGAGAGCATGTGCAAGGATACACTACTGTTAAGTGTAAGTGTTATATGGACCCACGGTGCCGCAACGACATGGGCGCACGAGCCGGATTTAAAGTTTTTCAGAGAAGTCCGAGCTCTTTCCACTCAAATGTGGGCACCATTGTGAGCTGCAGGCTTCGCGTTATATTATAAAGCTTATGGTCGTGGTGTAAGACCACGTAGGGTAACCAACCTAATGATTGCTTATTTTAATGACTAATATATGATTAATTTATGATATTCAATTATAACAACTGTATTTTTAAATTGCAGTATGGTATCTTGGGTTAATAAAATGGTTGAATGTTATAAAATAATTTAATCGAATAACATAAAAAAATAATAATAACTATTAAAATAACCAAACGTACATCTACAGGAAATTCATCCATTTATTAGGCTGGTTGTCCTATGACAGTTTGGCTCATCCCCGACCACTGCTGCTTTTAATCTGAAAGTTGAGACGATACGTGAGATGCTCTGTTTAGCGTGAACACTTGCCGAATGGAAGTTCGGTATGTGCGGCTGATGTCCTTCTCACTTAAGACACTCTATGCAGTTATTTTATTGCGGCTTGGGTAAAGGTATACTCGTGTAATCGACGTATAACACGTATCTCATGTTATTTTACAGGTATAGCCTTTTCTACTCTTGGCTCAACTCAAAAAGATGAATCAACAAGTGCACAATTTTGGTGCCTTGGGAAAATAAATATTTAGTTTGATGAATAGTATAAATGATGAGTAGATATATCAGCGGATTTTACACCCACACGAAACGAGTCAAACGACCAATTAAGTCATGTATATTGTTTTATTGTAGAGCCCAAAAGTTTTTAAAAGTATTTGACTTCAAGTTAAAAAGCCTATATTCTTATTAATAAAAGCCTAATGATAAAACAGATTTTATTTTAATTTTTGTCTCGAATCAGATTTGGAAAAAAAATGAGCAGCATTTATTTTTATTTCGAACCAACAT